GACGTGCAGCTTGTAACATTTGAAGTAACATTTGCTGAGAGTTGAGTAACTTCAGCGTGTTGAGCTGGCGCTGGCGCTGATGTAAGCCATCTCAGATGAAGTAGGTCGCCACATGAGTCCGTGTTGTTGGTTAATTGTCTTTCTGTAACACTGTAACAGTGTCACGCTCGCTACAACAATGCAATTCAGTTCTCATCGTCTACTGATTTAAAAAAAGAGTTCGAAAGGGAATGAGTAGCTCCGTCATTCAAAAAGAGTGACATGCTAAAGAATTAAAAACTGCATTTATCCATCCAAACGGCAGAGCCATTAAAAAAAATCAAATAAAAAATTTGGTCATGCAAGTTAGTATTTTTATCGAACTTTGATGCACAGGTTTTTTTTAACGGAACTCAAACATTTGTCCGGTTTGTAAACAGCCTTTTTCGCCTGCATTTAAAGTTTTGTTCAGTTTATGGTCTGTAAATAGTGCGAATAAACGAGCTTATGTCAGATTCATACCACCTTCCCTTAAATAGAGAAACAAACGACTTTCTGGCCTTTTACCTTTGGACATTATAAAACATCCGACATTCATAAAGATTTTTGAACGTATGCCAAATGTCATATACTGCTGAGTATACTGCTGCAAGAGTATACCTCTGCTTACAGGATAAAAAATGCAAGTAGAAAGTCAGTCTATATCTTTCAATGTAGCGGTTGTTTGATTCATTCGCGACGGTTTGAAGCACGAAACTCATGACTGCAGACAAAGAACTTCACTATAAGTAAAAAAGTTTCACATGCATGAAGACATGATCACAATGCAAGTAAAGGTCCACTATAAACCTTAACCGCGGGACAGCAATTTTCTTTGATTTAACAGCTCGACACACATTTACTACGAGCTGGGTAAACAATAAACATGTGAGAGTTTGCCGGGGTGAGAACCATTGTGATTGTTGTGGCAGTGGCGTTGAGAAGGCAGTGGTTGCTGACAATGCTTGGTGCTGATATAATGGTGGCTGTGGCCCGAATCACCAGCCTACCCACCATTCACCACTCCCTGGTTACGTCATACAACCGTGGAGCATTGTTGATGACTTTATAGTTTAGAAGAGATTGACGACATGATGCTTTGACAAGGAAATCAAATCTCAAATCTTTGCATACCATTGAAAGCCGAAGAGACCGATCGAAGATATCAAACCTAAAATTTGAATTAGCTTTTCTAGTAAAATACAAATTCAGTACGGTGCCTTTTTCTTACTAAATTTCTTACTAAATTCTTACTAAATTTTTCTTACTTTGAATTAGGTTTACTGCTTGTAGACCTATTTTAAATCACAGTATACGCTGCAAACTTGTAAGTTAACTCTTTTAACGAATTTCTCTATAGGGAAGTAGCTATTTTTAATTACAAACTCAGGGAAATGTCAATTTTTCTTTAAAATTGATTGATTAGGGGTTTGTTGAAAAATACGACAATCATTTATGATTACTTAAGTCGAAAATTGGAATGTTAATTATATAAATGTAGGCAAATGAGACACATTTCAACAAGGGTTGGTAATTCAATCTAAAATTTTTCTGTCGATTACAACATCATTATTGCAGGTAAATTAAAGAGTTATACCATACATCCTCGATAATTACCTCTTACTAAATTGAATGTATGATTTATCCAGTTTACCTAGCATTTCCCCGATAAATTTCTCGTCGAGCGTATTTGCATAACCCTCAAAAGTGGTTTCATCATAGGAAAGCTTATTTAAGTTATTGTACATCAAACGGCAACAATTAAGTAGCAAGTACAAGTATTTTATCACAACCGTGACTACAGAAACAAGCCAAGGTTGATTAGTAACGCCCTTGGCTGTAATGAGTTAATTATCAGTCTTTTTGTGGTAAGGGGGAAAGTGATTTGCGGACATAACAGCATCTGCTGAACTGCAGAGTGCCGACTGTTTATATATTAGTGTATAGAGGCGGTGTCATTGCTGATGCTACTGTTTGTTTACTGTGACAGAACGTAACTTTCCGTTGTACTACAGCATCGTAACCGTATTGGAATGAAAGGTGAAGCACCAAGCACGTTGAGCGAAGGCCTTTTGTTTCAAATCATTACTCGTCCAATTTGTCGCGGTTGTGTGCAATATAGGGGGAAACTGAAAACTGTAATCCTTATAAGGCATAATTTTATTACACTTAAAACACGTTTGTGGAATGTATTCAATTATGAAATGTGATTAACTAGTGGTGTAGTACTATGAGATAATTGGCAAGAATGAGTAACAGTGTGTGTAGCTGGGCGCACCATATTGTCATTTATTTTATAGACGCAATTAATTGTCAATACTTGTTGAACAGTTTGGTATTAAAAAAATCTCATCAGAATTTATATTAGTTCAACAATTGAAGTTATATTTTCAACAATCAAACCAGCAAATATCGATGTTTGATCAAATATAAAATAATTCATTTATTTTAATTTAATTTTGTAGCGCAATTGCTATTTTTGAGGAAACTGCCTCGAATTGCAGCTTTTTTTAAAACAAACAAACCATACGGATTTAAGTACAAGATAACAACTGTCAGTGGAATCAGCTCAATAAAACGAGACAGGAAGAAAATCATTCATCAAACGCGTAAAAAATAAACACTATAAAATTCATTTTCGCGTCAATATCAGTTTTATGGTACGGTAAAAAAAAAACATAATTTAAAAGTGTTATAAACACAGCATAGCAATTTTTTTTAACATGTGCCATGTTATAAACTATAAGACGTAGTAGTTAACCTTTGACTATTGATAATCTCTATTTACACCAAACAATCAACTAAAACCATCCTGGCATAAGATTCAATTAATAAAACTTTGACCCTTTATCAATAAAGACATTCGAAAATACGCAATGAATCAGAAAATTATAGTAGTTTTTGCCGAGATAAAAGGCAGACCCATTACACCAATGGCTTTACTGTTACTGTTTATAGTCCAATCAAATTATGATTCATTGTAATATTTTCTCCGTTCGCCAGAAGGTACCCGGACTAGGAACTCAGACTTGGAGAAAGTGACTCGGGCAGCCAACCCGAACTGTGATGTAAACCATAAGCAATTCAGCGGTTTACAAGAAATTTGTTCAGCCATTGTTAAATTAAGTGAGGAATTTTCTGTTTAAAATCATTTATACCTGTCGTTGTCGATTGGCCTCGCTGTTGTCACGGGAATAGATGCGATAATAGTGAAATTACTGCAGTTTCCAGTTTTCCTAAACTATTAAGTCCATTGCATTGAGTTTTAACGCGAATTTCAAATGCAAGTTATATTAATTGTATGACAACTTCCTTTCAATGTATTTTAGCAAGCAAATGCCACATATTTTTTAACCTTTGATTTATAGAATGGAGAAAATATTACTTATAGTTTTTGTGTTTAAAGATCCATTAAAAGACTTAAATTATAGTTAGTTAATTGCATCAATGGTTAATTGTATTTGTTATTGTAGCTTTTTATGTATCAATATCCATGATGACTAACTGCTACAATGTAATTAAAACAGTGTATACGTTATTTTAGTTTACATATCTACACAGTACGATTATTAATTTATCGTGGTGTGTAGATAAGACCTAATCCTAGGCATAGGAATGTCACTTTCCAAATTGACGCCATCAGGCGAGGTAAAGTTTTTAGCCAAATCCACAGAGCAGAACAGAGCCTCAAGTCGGTTACTTACCAAACCACTATCACAGAAAAGGTGGGGCGGTTTGACCCCTCCGGCAAAAGCTTAGGTTGGTAATGCTGAACGATTGGCTGTAATATTGTGACGCCTTCAACTGTGCCGACACAACTTCATTGCATTTAGGCATTGCGTGCTATGCAAGAGCTTTTGCAGGCGTAACAAAAATAACACCGTTGACTGTCAATCTAACACAAACTATAATACGAGTAGTAGTCTATCCCTAACCGTAGAATTAAGTGAACAGTGTCAACTAATTTTATGCTCTTTCATCTTGTATTGTCGTACCGGTATTTTACTATAGCAAATTCACACCACGGATGTTTAAAAAACATAACTTACCTGTAAATGGTAGGTACTGAAATTAATTGACTAATCTTTATATGACTTAGAACGCGTTTAATTCATGTAACTAAGCATTAAAACACAATTTATGTAAAACTTAAACAAAAATACATTTATAGCCTAAAATTAACCATTTCTCTCGACTTTGTTTCTTTTGGTGAACTAGATTTTCCTTGATATTCTTAATGCAATAAATGAATGCAGTTTGTATTCATTGATGCAATTCCTCTTTTCATCTAATCGTGCAGGAACATAATTAAAAAAACCCTTGTTTAAAAAATTAATTAATTGTTTAAAATTGATAAAGAAAAGTTAATGAGGTTCTGAAAGTAGTGAGAAAATAAAATAAAAAATATCTTATCGGTTAACAAAGAAAAAATAATAGAAACCACAGCCCAAATAGTGAATGATGATCACATCACTAAATCTTAATTTAGCAACATTTAAATATCAAGGTTCAGTTGAACCTCCTTAGTACGAACCTCGGTAAAACAAATTCATTGATAAGACAAATTAAAAAAAATCCCCTTGAAACTTTCATAAAGGTCAATGCTGAAACTCCTCTGTACAACATAGTAATTAGGTTAAAAACCTCCATTAGATGAATTTGTTTGTGTCATGGGCTAGGACTGATTAACCTCCATACCACCATGGCACGGTGGCTAGTATCCTATAAAAATAATGTAGTTTTGATATGAAAATCTAAAGTAGTATGATAGTAGTATATCAAAATATACAGGAGGCAATATATGATGAGACGTACGTTTGAGGAGATCAACGTTTTCTTCCTTCTTGTTTACCGTACTCACTTGTTATTCTATAAATACTGCATTGACAACTTGCGCATGTAAAGTTACTTTTTGATTAGTATTTTTATCTTCTTCAGCTCTGTCGTAGTTCAGTAATTAATTTAGTTTTGACCTGTTACAGCTGTGTGTATGTTGGCAGCATCGCTTGTCTTCCCTCTCTCTTGGACTGAACCTGAGGTAAATAGATAATTTTCCATACAGCTTTGATCAAGAAAAGTTATTTTAATAGGCTCACCATGGTCAAATAAATTGTTGTGTTGTAGCTTTGCCTATGAGAGAAAAATACATTGTCCAATCAATCATTAAAAGTAGACGCTATCTATTTACCAGAAAGTAGCCAATTTTTTATTCAAATTGGGTGTTAAATGAGCTGCTCAGAGGTGCTACTAAAAGTTGGATTTTCTCGTTGTTTTCAATGCTTTTTGAAATAAAGTACGCTGTAGTTTACAATTAATTGTTGTTTTGGTTAATCAAGCTTGTGTATACAACAGGAGTCAGTAAATGACTTCGATCAGACTCTGTCGGTTGCTCAATTTAACTATGTTTAATATTCTAAAACTGTAAAGTAAAGTAAAGTTGACAAGTAAAGTATACTTGAGTTTACAATTAATTATTGTTTGGCTTGGCTTGGTATACAACAGTTTGTTATACTTCAGTTTATTAAGTTATATAACAGTACGTTTGTGTATACAACATACCCTAACAGGAATTGGTAGACCTTATTGACATCAGCACACCGTGTCGGTGGCTCAAATAAACAACTTTTATAATGGTACTAAAACTGGCCAAAACTTTAACACGTTCGCTGCGGTTACGGGATAAGAACAGATAATATTCTGCATGTATATGGGGGTGAATATGTTTAAATTTAGTTTCACCCAATAGGAGAGGCATATTATAACATATACTGAATTCCAATTGTTGTGGACGCAGTTTTACAAGAAACCAACAAATAGCAGCATTGAACTTAAGTGCTAACTGGCCCTCAGTATTGCCAAATGAAGGGGAAAAAGCAGGGGCAAAGTACCGTAAAAAATGTCAAGCATAATTTTAAGGATTATTCCTGACACAAACAGTGTTCCCGGCCAAATAAATGCTGGGCTCACACCGAGGCAATGTTAGTAAGGCGAGTGCGGTGTTACATTTATAGTAGTCCGCAGTGAACAAGTTAACATGGGAATGGGATGTATCTGTCTGCCCACATTGCTTATTCCCCTCCTGTGTGGTAGGTGTTGAGGACATGTGGCCAGACTGCAGGAGTATACGCCCCAGGAGACTGTTCTCTACGCTGGGCCTACCTGCTGGCTGTCATAGGCTGTCTGGACGCCTTCATACTGGCTGTGCTGGCGTTCATACTGGCCACTCGCCACGTCAAACTGCAGCCTGAGCCTACGTACGGCATGAATGGCAGTCTCTACAAAGGTATGTGCTATCACATCTGTTGAAATCTAATTGAAAGTGCAGCAATGTACTTGGAACTTCAGGAAGCACTTATTTTTCCCTTTGTTAACATACTGTATTAGTTATGTTCTTACATTTTAAAAACATAGTAATCAATAATGGTGAAAAAATGTGTTGGTTTATCGACGAGAGAACAAGAACGATATTTTTTGGAAGGAACACTACAATATGTGTTCCAACTGGTAATAATAACTCGTATGTCAGAGTATTTTTACTTCTGACAGAACAATAATAACATTGATTTACATGTACATCAAGGTCTGCTCAACCAGCAGTTTGCGTTGTGTGTAACTGTAAAGAGACTCATAATTTTCCTTTTCGTTCTCTCTCTGCTCTGAAGCACTGCAAAGCAAACCGTGTGAGATAAACAATTATTTATTGTTTGTTGTATGTTGTTTGCAGGAGAGGTGAACGGAGGGTTCATGGGAGACGCTCACTCAGTGGCCGGATCTCGCAAATCACTCAACCTTCACCCTGTATTGCTCATGCCGCAACCCGGAGATGCTGACAGGTATATAATCATAACTACACCAAATGTACTGTAGATATACAAAAGGAGCGATAACAATTCATTATATAGCCCTGGGACTCCTTTTATTTCAAAAATGTCCTTCTTACCTTCATCTGTAGTTCAAATTTCTGCTAACAAAATACACTTTACTAGTTTTGACAATGTTCCATTGGCAAACTTGTTACATTTTGGTGCACTTGCAACAAAACTAGTCTGCTCTTTGATGATGACAATTTGAACTACAGACGGAGATAAGCAAGCATATTTTGTCAGAAGAAGCTACTAAAACATTTTACTTATGCAGTCACTCAATATAGATGTATGCTTTCAGATTTATTTATGTTAATTTCTCACTGAGTTGTAATAAATGCACAACTTTGTTATGTTTAGCATCAAATGACTAAGTCCTGTAACTGCTACTTAAACTTACAAGTGGTTTTTTGAAAACTTCCGTCTAGTTGTTTCCGATGCATGAACTTAGCTTCAATCAACTACATGCCCCAAATTTTGTTTTAAACGTGAACCTCTATTATCTCTCCATTACCACTCTATTATATAAATATACTATGCTCTCACAGTAGTAGTTGTAAACCATGTTAGGTAAGGACCATTGCTTTCTTTTTGGAGTTCTCTCTGAACAATAGGTCATAAACAATGCCCGATCACCACTAGTCCCTAGAGCTGCAAGGGAAGGGTGGCAACATATTTTATAACCATTTAAAAAATCAAAATTAGAATTTTATTTTATTAAGTTAATTTGCCACGATTGCGGGTGACAATGATTATGTTCCTGTGATCGCAGATATTTCGATTTTGTTGCAGTTGTGGTTGATGATGTATGTCCTCGTCTTTGTGAAAGACGTTAACAATCTTGCCACAATCACAGGGAAGTTAGTTATCCCACTTAAACAGGGGGCTCTCAGGTTAGGTTGGCGTGGGTCACAAGTACCCTAAATCCCGTCTTAAATTCATTCTTTAGTCTTAAAATAGTTTTAATTGTTGGTAGTGGTAAAAATCTGAAACTGAGCTCTAAGGTTTTAGCTTGTCAAGCATTACATTCTATCAAATATGGATGACTAGCACAACCCTATCATTTGATTTATCTATCAGTAAATGGTTGTAAAAAAATACCCCCGCCGCAGCAAACCTGCAGACTAAGCAAATTTCCATTCACCTGATTGGATTTACACTAAAATGCCTCCATAAAAATATCACATTTATTTCCTATTTAAATAGAATTAGTTTAACAAGTACTTAGATTTGCTGCAACAGGGCAGGGTAAAAAAGTGTTTTTTTTTTAGTTAATAGTTTAATAAGAAATGAAAGTATTTTCCAAATTCGATCAAAATATGTTCATAAACAAGCAAACTACAACAGTTGACTTATTCTCTATAATATAATATGGGAATAACATGGGAATTTTAAATTAAAAATTTTTTTGAATTTTCTCCATATGCTATTTGGTTTGTTTGCCAAAATATCTTTCTGCTTTAGTTTAAATAATCATAATAATTTTTGTTTATTCACTGATGATATTAACTTTTGTATCATTGGAAAAAGCTGGTATGGTGTATTGGCAGAGTTTTAACAAGCAATTGATCAAGTTAATGATGTGAACTAAGTCATCTTAACTTGCTATTAAATAAAAAAAAAAACACACACGATAACCAATTTTAAGTGTAAAGATATTTCTAAATTAAATCATTCAGATTGTACACAGGTTCAACTTACTAATAGTACTATTTTTGGGCATTAGATCACACTCTTAACCGGACAAAAAATGTTGAGAAAGTATGTTTTAAAATTAGTTCAGGTAGCTAATGCATTGATAAGACTGGCCCCTTTTTTCCTGATTATGCTCTTTGTAGAGATCGTTTGTGTAATTTTATTTAGGTGTAAATTATGACTGTCTAGTCTGTATATTTATAGAACAGTATTACATGTAAAAAAAAAGATAATGAAGAGACTTGGCCAAGACAATGAAATATTCACACGTATTATACAAGAATTTGGGAAACTTCTCAAATAATAAAAAAAAAAAAATCATTTCAAGCTAAAATCCAACTGTTTCTGGGACAAAATATTGTAACTACCTTCCTGAAATGATAAAATCTGGAAAGAGTGTTAAATACTTTAAAGGAAATTAAAAAGATAATTTTGACCAAATCGCTAATAACTTTTTGATGAATTTTTCAGTTTTTAAGTTCATTTAAATAAATATGAGAGCTCGCCCTGAGGTCGAAAACTCTAGCAACTGTTATGACCCATCAACCTAGTCAGCAACAAAATATAAGGTTTTTTAAAATAGAAATTCAGACACTAGCGCATTCTGTGACTGGCTCACACAACTACGGTTTTTAAATAAAAACTTGGCTACAGCTGGTCCATATAGATGGGATGTCTACATCAGTATCCAATAGTCAATGGTATAATGTATGATGTATTGTTCTGAAATACATTCATGTATACTTTTGTATATCTGTGAATAAAGTATCTTTAAATTGAAAATTGAAAGAAACCTGACTATTTTCTCTGGGTGCTAGTATCAAGGTTAGACATACCTGACCCAATCACACAATCTGAAATGTACTGAATTTTGTGTCTTGTTTCAGATATTCCGAGTTCTCAAACCGCACAGGGAGGTCAAAGAACTCTGGCTTTAGACCAGATTATGGTCCATCAATGCATAACTTCCAGCTGTAGGGATGTATAACTACACAAGGTTGTTGTCTATAACTTTTTCACTATGACTAAATTCTGAGCTATTTTATGAAGTCTGATCACCAGAAGATCAATTATAAGTTGTTTTTTCGTACTTAAAATAAAAAGTTTACAAAACAGGGTACTTTAACAACAATGTCCACTAAACTGAATTTTAAGACTGTGAGATATTAACCATAAGCAAAAGAATGATTATTGGATAATGTAGTTTTTTAATTGTAAAACGTTACTGTATATTCTTTAATTTAACTAGGTACTTCCTTCCGTCCATCCTACTTTAATACCTAATAGGTATTTAAAAGAATGTAATGAATGTGAAATGTAATTTCTGTCATATGAAATCCTAATCTTGTAATTTTTATTACTATTTATTGAGTATTATGTACCACATTTGTATTCAAAGTAAACTTTAGTCTTCCTAGTTACTGAAATATCTATTTTTATATTAATCTTATTTGTACATATACATGTATAGTGGTAAGATCAAAATGTATTATTGTAAATAAGGATGTTAAACTTTTTAATTTCAATAATCAAACTTTCTACTTAATGTATATTTTAGTAAAATTATTTTAGGTTAGTATAGTATTTTCTTAAACACTTTTTTAGATTGTTACAACTTTATTATACATGTTTTGTAATACATTATAACTTTGAAACTAATTTTTGAGCATTCATTTTTATCCATTATTAAAACTATAACAATCACATATGCAACTATCAGTGAGTATATGTTAAGGGAGACTCTGTCTTGAAGGGATAAGCGGACCTTCTATTCTTGCGATTGTCAAAAGTGTCTGCAAAGATTGTGTGATTGCGTAATGATTTTGGGAATGATTATAATGAACCCGCGGCCACTAAAGATGTACTTGATTTTGCGGAAATTATGGGAAACGATAATGATGTCATTATGGGAAACGATGATGTCATTATGGGAAACAATAATGATGTCATTATGGGAAACGATAATGATGTCACTGTGTCTGATTGATTGATCGATTGGATTGGGGCGGACCTTGTCCCAGTGCAAGTCAGCCACAGACTATATATACCTATAAGTAACCTTACTGTACCTTACTGTAGGTATGTATAGTCAATGCCATTAGCTTAAATCCTTTGTCTTCTCTGTGAGTAAGTGTAGTAAAATATGATAATAGGATTCATGTTATTTAACAGATTATTGCGTCCGTTTGTACTAAACGTAATGGAAAAGATTTGCAATTTCCCTCCCTACGCTTTCCATCGCCTAAAAATGAACTTACACAAAAAATACTGGTTCTGGAAATGAAGGAATTCAATTAAGTAACTAAGTCCCTCTGCGGTGTATGGGTCAATTAAAATTTTGCCACAAGTAATCACTCAACAAATGAACAATTTTCCTCACTGTCATCTTAACCATCCCACTCAAACGCCATGCTTTTGTAGATTGCTCATGTCACCAAAAGATCAAAAGATTTTCACCATTCCAACATGAAAAAAATAGTAGACATTTAGTAAAAAAGAATATTTTTAATGTCACTTTGGGGACAACCTGAGTTGAGACTGAGTTATTAACAAGTTTGTTTCATACGTCAAACTCAGGTCAAACTGTTGCAAGTTTGTTAAACATTCAACAGCAATCTCTGCTCTATAAAGTGTATTAAACTTAACTTGTTGGTAGAAACATGGGATAAATATTTCGTCACTTTTAACCTAATTCTTTGCATATCAACAGTGAAAAGGGGTGTTAAAACTTTTATGATTTAAATCTTTGTGTGTTTGTTTTTGTTTTATTTTTATTTTTTTTAACTGATTTTTCTAGGTTTACTCTGATGTTAGTATTGTGCTAGACGTTAGAAGTGTGCTTGAGTTTGAAGTTTTTACAAGCCTAAATCTATGAATAAATATTTGTTGACTTGTCCTAGTAAAGTGGTAATGAACCTGATTTGACAGGGTAAGTTTCTTATTATATTATGTTTCACATAGGCTAGACTAATAAAAACATACATATTTACAACAGTGGGTATAATGGAGCCAAACTAAGGAGGTAGATGTTTCCTTTTGGTTGATTTTCCTCCTGGGAGACCTAAAGGCTCAAATAACTTCCTGCCAAATCTTTTGATTGGCAGTGTATTGAATACTGAACAAGTTTGTTTCAACTTGATAAATCTAGGGCTATTTTATCTATTTACAATTTTTGTAACACCAAACCTACTCTCTCTGGAACAACCTACGTATTTTTTTTACGAAAATTACTATTCCTGTCCTATCTCCTTTCAACACTTGCCATAAAACCAAATTTGCCAATGGTACAGTTGGTTTTCTCATAACTTTCTTTTAAAAGTATAAATGTTTCTTCATAATATTGCCAAACGGCTAAATCATTATCCAAAATAAGCTTATTACACACTTTTAAAAAAGTTCTATATTTCTCGAAATATAGAACTTTTTTAAAAAGTGTGTAATAAGTTTATTTTGGATTTTGAAAAGTATTAGATAGTCTATTCTATCTTAAAGAAGCAATTAGCGTTAAGTAACATAAAACCTTTATTTTGTGACATAATGTTTTCTTTCACTGTCTCGACATGCTCCTGATTCGATTTTATTGTTGATTTTTTTTACCTAAGTTCATAGCAGGCAGTTCTGGGATGTTAATCTCGTAAAGCTATAGCACAATATTAGAAGTTTTTGAGGAGACTCTAGGAAAAGGAAGCAACACTTCATTGCACATGAGCAAAAATTTAAACAAAACATCTGATGATCTTATCTTAGTCAAAATCTTCTGGGAATGGCTGAGTATGCTGCTTTGCTATAATTTATTCTTGTATTAAAATTTAACGATATTTTTCACCGTTTTACAAAAAATTTTACGACAGTTTGGCCAATGGTAATGCTAATACTAAAATAAAGTTTTGTAATAGAAATTAGTTAATTTTTTCTAGATTACGTTTTTTTGGTACGTATTTTTGAAGAAATAGTCTGAGTCGTCTGAGCAATAACTCCTAAAATGTAAAGTGAAAGAGCACTTGTACGATATGTTTTAACCACTTTTTACTGATTTATGTATTTTTACTATTTAAAATATACTGCTTTTTAATGAAATAGAAAGTTAGGTAATCGAGTTAAAATGAAAACTGCCTTGATTTGAGAAACAAACACGAGGAAAAAGTCAGTTCCCCAGTTTTGAATTTAAATTCATTTTACTCAGAATTTCATCGGGAATCGCTTTAACCCCCGTCCCCTTAAATTTTAAAGTTTAACCCCCTCTTATTGCCGCCTCTACACCATACAGGCAGGCCCACTTTTATAAACGGGCAGACTGGGCATATGCCCAGGGGCGCTGGTGGTTTGGGGGCGCCCACTGGGAGCCCCCAAACCACCACCTGCCAGCACTAGGAAAAAAGGGGGGCGCTGCTCTTGGGTTTGCCCAGGGCTCCACTGACCCTTAACGCAGCCCTGCATACAGGGCCCCTGGCCCCTATACCAAAATTCTAGGTCGTATATGTTTTGAGTTTTGAGATATATAGTGATCGTCTGTCAGTCAATGGTATTTGCATTTTTAAGTATAGAAGATTCCTTAATTTCAAAATCTGCTTATTCAAGCAAAATTTCTCAATCTCAAACTAAGTCCAAACAGGTAGAATTATGAACATAACAACCAAATAAATAAGGGGGTTTTGCATTGTAAGTTTAATTAAAGTTATTTTTTTCAGACTCCTATTAAAATGGAAGTAGGTCAGAGTGAACCAGGAAGTTTTACGCGGTTGGCATGTAAATGAGCTTTATAATAACGCCAACTTATGACGGAATTTATTTTCTACAGTATTATAGATAAAATTAAAGCTGTGTATAAGCTCAAGCTTTAACTGTTATTAATGCTTTTTAAACTCATTTCAACTCTAAAATATACAGAGATAGTTAGTTACATGTCTGGTGTACTGACATAGAGAAAGTGTTTATAGAAAAATATAAATTAAAATCTATTTCTGATATCTTCATTGTGGATGTAGCCTCCGGATTGCCAAATAATATTAAAAAGGTTTAAATACCTGCTATTAAGCAATCCATTTAATTGCAGTTGCAACTAGTTTCGACTCCTATGTAGAGTCATCATCGGGCGGTACAAGGACTTCTTCTTTCTTCATATGAAGAGCGTCATATTTAACGAGTAAAAATAAATAAACATTTACACACTACACAAAACACGTTACGGACACGAAACATTTACTGATCAGTTACGACCACAGACGACGCTAACCCGACGGAGTTTAAGTCCATACTCAAACTTAACTTAACTTAAAGTCAGAGTCTGGACTTAAACTCCGTCGGGTTAGCGTCGTCTGTTGTCGTAACTGATCAGTAAATGTTTCGTGTCCGTAACGTGTTTTGTGTAGTGTGTTAATGTTTATTTATTTTTACTCGTTAAATATGACGCTCTTCATATGAAGAAAGAAGAAGTCCTTGTACCGCCTGATGATGACTCTACATAGGAGTCGAAACTAGTTGCAACTGCAATTAAATGGATTGCTTAATAGCAGGTATTTAAACCTTTTTAATATTTCTGATATATTTTTCTTCATAAGTTCTGTTCTTACCTAATAAAAACTGAAATGTCAACTTCCTGTTCATAATTCAATTGACTATATGTACTCCGTTAAAAAAAAATTTTTAAGGGGTTAGGGGGTTGTAGGGGAAGAAATTGATCCCCTCCACTTAATCCTACATTCAAAATAACTAGCAGCAAAAGCTTTGCTCGGGTTCAAATAATAGTGTTCAATGTTGGTTATAAAATCAGTATTTTTTTTCTGTTTCATAGATAATAGGTGTTTCAATTCTTGATAGTCTACCATCAAATCATTAAATCTAGAATAAGTTAAATATTATTTCTCTGTAGAACATTATAGTCCAATAAAAAATTAGTGGGGGAACTTCCCCTCAAACCACCGAAATTTTGTGAACAGACTATATATAGTAAGGGCACAGTCGAATCCTGTTCCTAAGTTGATAGTCATTTCCAATGTCTTTTCTTTGTGTTATTCTCATCTCTTCAACTAGATCAATCACTATGAAATTGCAAACTCGGGAGATAAATTACTTAACAAAATTGTTATTTGAAACAAAGATATTTATTTCTTTTAGAAGATTGATTTTATATTGGACAAATAATAAATTAATTTCAGCTTATCTGATTATTATCGATGCTACATTTA